CCCGGACACACACACCCTTGTTTTTCCAAATAAAAAAAAGACCTCACTTTGCGTTAGCCAACTTCTCAAACAATAAGCAAGGAGAAAGGAGGATAAAAAGTTACTTTGGAAGATACCGAGATGATATCTATATGATCAAAATATGCCGATATTATGAAAAAGACATGTTTTTCAAAGTCTTGTCCCATAATAAGTCACGGGAGCCAAACCTGGCCAATTGCAAGAGACATCGCAAAGAAATTAAGGAAGCGACAGAGAGACAGTTGAAAAGGAGGATACTGGATACAACAAAACACTATCAAATAAAGCACACACAAATACGAGAGAGATCAAAACTTTGCAGATGCTCCCGAATTAATACTTAGACAAAATGAAAATGGGCTGGTCACATCGATAGAGTGATGGATAACAGATTATCAAGAATATGCAACGAATAGAGATAAAATACAGGAAAACGATCCAGAAGAAGAGACCAAAGAAGGTAGCAAGATGACATCATATATAGCGAACTGGCACATCCTGGGCACGGAGAACAGTTTATGGAACAGACTGGATGTCGTTGTTGGAGGACTACACCCTGCAGTAGATGAACAACACCTAGAAAGAAAACTATGCACCTGGACAAAAGGCACTATAACACTTCAACCTGGAATTGTTCAATCTGCACATTTTGATTTATAACAGAGTAGGTGACGGTATAATTTGATTTGCTTTTGTATTTTTAAACTACTAGAATAATTATTTTTTATGAAAGTATGGGCTAGCAGTTGTCACCAAAGGCGTGGAAGTGTGAAAAGACTGATGGTCATAACATTTGTGAATTATATATACACAATAAAGCAACAATAACTAATAACCCAATTAATAAACTTTTTAAAGCGAGTTTGGCCCATTTTTTAAAAAGAATATACAGAAGCCTTGTATAGGATTTAAAACAGTACATTTACAACAAATTTTGTGGTTCTCTCATAGAACTCTACCTCTAAAAAAAAAGAAAAAAAAAGAAAAAAAAAAGAAACGAATTGTTTGGATTAAAAACAACTTTTAAGGTGAATAACTTGCCATAATATTGCGTGACTCTTGTCTCGAGCAAGGCCCTCTGGTTGTCCCTGACTTCCCCATACAGACCGAGGATGACAAAGTTCAAGGAGACCAGAAACAGACCGGGCAATATGAAGAAGAACAGCATGTCTGTAATGCCGTAGGCTCCGGACAGTTGCATGAACCGACGCTTGACTGCCAGAGCACAGCTGTATTCACTGAGAACGTCAAGGCTGGCTTTGTTGGAGGGCAGCCCATGTTTGCCCGTTACATAACTCACTGCGTAAATTCCGAAACTAGTGCAGCAGATGGCACTCAGACATATGTAGTAAGTCTTGCGGGAGCAAATACGATAGACCTGAAACGGGGACCGGATGTGGACGAGACGAGTGGCGGTGATCAGCACAAGGACCCAATTGATGATCGTGGTTGTCACAGATGTGTACATTTGATGAATTCTGGGGAAATAACGACAACAGTTGGGTGTGCACCACACACACACACACACACACACACACACACACACACACACACACACACACACACACACACACACACACACACACACATAGACATATTAAAATATGTTGGCCTCGGCCAAGAGGCTCTTCAGTGGAGAAGTTCGGAGAGCCTCAAGAGCGGGGCAGAGTGAGAGTCCTCGATTATGTACGGGGTCTAGCTTTTTCTATCTGTGAGGTCTTGCCGTTCCATAGACTTGACAGCCATAGTCAAGCCTAGATCGGACACGAGAACTGTTAAGGTGGAGTAAGTGTTTGGGGTCTCCCCCCC